TAAGACAGCTAAATGTTCGTGCTGTAAATAGAATCTTACGGCGTTAAAATTATATATTCTCCTAATAAAATCGAGGTATATCAGAAGTTAGTGAGACTTTCCAATTTGATTGTATTTTATTAGAATTGCACAAATATATTCTGTATGCCCAAATGAAACAGTAGCTATGCTTTAGAGATTGAATACCTTGACCCAAAAGCAGTAAATGAGCTTGCTTGTCATGCAATGTTTTTGTTTGCTTGGATCTGCTTTTTTAAATTAGAAAAGCCTTAGAGATGTGTGGGATTTAATCTAAAATTAAAAAATGATAGGTTCTACTAAGTTTTCATTGAGCAATTTTATTGATAGCTCTAAAGTTGGATGTCTAAGTTACTTAGCATATCGTAATAGCTGATTCCGTTTATGATTTTTATTTGACTCCTTAATACAATGTATCTTCTGTTTCAGTTTGGTCTCGAAAGGTCATTTCTTTGATTGTAGATTCTGTGTACCTGTTAACTGATAAAATTGTTAGTATCAGGAATATGAACTGAATTGAGAGCACTCCTTGCCTCCCTGTGATGCTTGTTCCTGAGGATACCTATCTGAATAAAAGGGGGAGGATCATGCTTACTCAAACTTGGCTTTAATAATAAGTTAATCCAATGTTAAATGGAACTCATGAGGTGGTAAATGTTTACTGAATGATCTCTAAATTTAATATTTAGTAATTAAAACTTTCACCATTCATAAAATAGCTATCACTGTATCTTTTAAGTTATGATGATGCTTAACACCTTTGCTCCTGGGTTGCAGCTGTTCAACTGGAATGTAAGGTCAGCAGTGTATTAAGAAGATAATCACATACTAACAAATACAAATGGATGGAAAACAGCTCTGTTTCATGTCATTTCTGTCTTAATTTAACCAAAAGTTGCTAGGAAGCAGAAGGAAAAAGTGTGGGGTTCATAAGTTATAGTATTAAAACTTGAGGAAAACTGAATGAGGCTTTTCAATTAAATTTAAATTTTATAATCAACTATTCTCAACAGGCTAAAAGTTGGTCTTCAGGTTGTAGCAGTCAAAGCTCCAGGTTTTGGTGACAATAGAAAGAACCAGCTTAAAGACATGGCTATTGCTACTGGTGGTGCAGTAAGTAAAATAAATGCTGTGATGTTTGTTTACTGAATGTTATTTTTACTTCTGGGTCTAAAATTTATAGGTTAATTTGCATTTTTCACAATGAGATATTATCATTTGAACTATTTGCTTAATTTATTTCTCTTGAATGTTTGGGAGTTGGGAGTTAACATTAAATAATGCTAAGCTCTCTTTTATCTCTAACTTGCCATGAATCTAGCCCAAGAAAGACAAGACTGTAATAGGTAGGAGTTGGGACTTCATGAATTTAGGCCTAGAATCTAGTCCTGGTTCCACCAATAAGTGTGACCTTGGGGGAAGTTTTTGAGTTTGTATCTTCTCAAATAAGGGAATACCTGTTTAGCAATGGTCTTCAAGTCTCGTATTTCAAATAAATATAATATTTCAAGATGTTTTTCTCATCAAAATACTTGTACAGTGTAATAGGAATAAACTTGTTATGGTGAAAAAACTGTACCCTGTAACTGGTTTGTTTTTAATGTTTTTGTAGGTATTTGGAGAAGAGGGATTGACCCTGAATCTTGAAGATGTTCAATCTCATGATTTAGGAAAAGTTGGAGAGGTCATTGTGACCAAAGATGATGCCATGCTCTTGAAAGGAAAAGGTGACAAGGCTCAAATTGAAAAACGTATTCAAGAAATCATTGAGCAGTTAGACATCACAACTAGTGAATATGAGAAGGAAAAGCTTAACGAACGCCTGGCAAAACTTTCCGATGGAGTAGCTGTGCTAAAAGTAAGATGCATTGTGAATAAGCTTGGGTTCTGAGCCCAAGAATGATTTTGTTTCTGTTGGATTTCCTATTAAGTGCTGTGTATATAAACAAATGTTTGAGGAATTGACTTCATCGTGGAGATAACTTATTACAGAAAAAGTATTTCTTTACTGAGTCATTTCTTAAAGCAGAGTTGAACTTGGAGTGAGTGGGGCTCCTTTCAGTAAAAAGTTGTCTTGTTAATGGGGCTAGGTTAGTGTGTAATTTCCCTTTTGTGGGACTCTCCATTCACCCTCTTAGCCATTTCATCATGCAGTCACTTATAAATTTTTAGTATGGATAAGTAACCTTTTTACAATATTGCTTTAAGTAAACTAGATGGTTTCTTTGACTTTTTTGGCAGCATCTTCAATGGGCAAGACTGTACTAACTGGAAGTCTTTTTAATCTTTAGGTTGGTGGGACAAGTGATGTGGAAGTGAATGAAAAGAAAGACAGAGTTACAGATGCCCTCAATGCAACACGAGCTGCTGTTGAAGAAGGCATTGTTCTTGGAGGTGGTTGTGCTCTGCTTCGGTGCATTCCAGCCTTGGACTCATTAATTCCAGCTAATGAAGATCAAAAAATTGGTAAGAGGTTACCTTACAAATGGCCTTTATTTGTGGCCTGATAAATATTGTTTCTGCCGACTAAACAACAGATCACAAAGCCATTTCCAAAAGGAAAATATTGCTGGCATCACAGAGAGCTAATGATGCATCAGGTTTCTGGGAGAATGATTTGACCTGTGATGTTTCCCAGTTGGGATTTTCCTATATCATTGCCCTCACAAGTAGAAATGTAATATTTACAAAAGAGAGCTAAAACAAATTAACTAAAATTGGTTTTCTTTATAGGTATAGAAATTATTAAAAGAACACTCAAAATTCCTGCAATGACCATTGCTAAGAATGCAGGTGTTGAAGGATCATTGATAGTTGAGAAAATTATGCAGAGTTCCTCAGAAATTGGTTATGACGCTATGCTTGGAGATTTTGTGAATATGGTAGAAAAAGGAATCATTGATCCAACTAAGGTAAGTAGTCAAACACATCCTAAAAATTCAAGCACATCCTAAAAATTCTCTCAACAGTTCAATCAAAGACATTAAATCTTGTTGCTGTTTTATTAAGGGAAAAGTAACATTTTATCGAACTTTTTTTCTAGGTTGTAAGAACTGCTTTATTGGATGCCGCTGGAGTGGCATCTCTGTTAACCACAGCAGAAGTCGTAGTCACAGAAATTCCTAAAGAAGAGAAGGACCCTGGCATGGGTGGAATGGGAGGAATGGGAGGTGGTATGGGAGGTGGCATGTTCTGATTCCTAGAATAGTGCTTTACCATTTATTAATGAACTGTGACAGGAAGCTCAAGGCAGTGTTCCTTACCATTAACTTCAGAGAAGTCAGTTGAAGAAAATGAAGAAAGAAAAGGCTGGCTGATGTTTAAGAAAATCATTATAACCATCAGTTACTGGTTTCAGTTGACAGTGTATAATGGTTTACTGCTGTCACTGTCCATGCTTACAGATAATTTATTTTGTATTTTTGAATAAAAACATTTGTACATTCCTTATACTGGGTGCAAAAGCCATGTACCAATGTACTGCTTTCAGCTTAAATCACTGAGGCATTTTTACTACTATTCTGTTTAAAATCAGGATTTTAGTGCTTGCCATCACAAGATAAGCAGCAGCCTTTCTGTGGAGAGTAAGAATGATTGTGTACAGAGTAGAGAAATATCCAATTATGTGACAACCTTTGTGTAATAAAAACTTGTTTAAAGTTAATAACTGTATTAACCTTTCCATGATCTAATGTAAATGAGAAATGAAAAGCCAATTGAAGGGGGTACTGACACGTAGAACTCCACTTACTGTATTTCGTGTTTCTTTACTGCAGACTGTATTACATAATTACATTGGTAGTAACGAAAACTTTAAAAGGTGACAGCCTTGATGAATCTTGTGGAAACAAATACTGTGTTGAGGCCTGGTCATAAAGAAAAGGGCAACCTGTTATTTCTTGTGGAGTCTGGTTATAGCTCCAAATTCCCAACATAACAGATGTAGGCTGTTATGTTCCTTCTGGCTACTCCGAGGAAGGCAGGTCTTACAGTATGAGTATTTCAGTGGAAGGAAGAGTGGTATGCCACTCAACTGTGGATAATGAGGACATCCATAACTTGCTAGTCACAGTCCAGTGGCTTCCCTTTTTAGTTTTTAAACATAAACAGCAACATTTCCAGTTCACTGTACTTGATCTTTACAGTATAGTATGGAAGCTTGACTGACTTTTAAAACATTACCTGGGTGTGCATGTTGAGGGCAAGATGTGACCTATTGCTTTCTAGATTTTACTATATTACACATTTAAGGGACAGAATCTTGTTTACCAGTAAATAGGGTTTTTATTTTCAGCTGTGCAAAGACCTATTATGTGCTTCTTGTAGCTGTATAATCTGGACCTGCTGTAGGTGGAAGTAATTCTGGTCTGCTCCTTAGTATTACCCCGAAGCTGCTGCTTAAAGGTTTGGTCGTATGAGTCAGGCATTGAGGCACGTGATCTTGCACTACGTAGCCTGTACAGAATAGAGGGAAGTACCAAGTTAAAAAGTCACTTGAAGACCTGAACCTACAATGCCTTTGCTTTGGTAATCTGACAGGGGTAGTTCAGAAACAAGGACTGGTCAACAGATTAGAGGGCACTGAATATATGCAAGCTACTTACGGGCAAGTACCTCATCTATAACTGTAAAGACTGTACTGAGTCTGTCACCACTGTATACCTCGTGTCTGGCAGATAGCAGGTACTCAAAACATTTACTGAAAAAAATTCATGTGTATGTGCGTTTATGTAGGGAACTAATTATTGCAACCCTTTGTTGATCTGAGGAAATAAAATAGCACTATAATTAGAAGTGTAGTGCCAGAGGGTTGCTGGGTATGGAGAAGGAAGGAGGTCAGTATTGATTAAAGAAAGATTAAATTTTGCCCAGGTTTGTCCAACTCTTGTTTAAAGTATTTAAGATGAAATGCTATAATTAAACTTTATAATGTCTATGTAAATATACACGGAAACAATATAAAATATTTAACCAAGTAACTATTCAAAAAATAAATTAACTTTATTAAGTTACCACTTCAGTCCTTACATTGATTTGTTTAAAAAAATACCAGTTTGAAATAACATTATTGAAAGTGAGTACAGGTAATAAATAGAAAAAGGGATGTATAGTGCTGGAGACATCAATGTATCTTCATTTGTTGCCTACTGTTGTAGACAAAATTTGACACAATTAGCATTATTGAAAGAGCAGCCAAAGTAACCAGGACAAGGTTGCAAACTACTAGAAAAGTAGCTTAAAGCTCTGGACCACTGACCAAGAAAAATACTCTTCATCTGGGCACTAACCTCACTATAGCACTGAATTCTCCATAAGAATGATTTAAAAATATCAGAAGTGCCCGGTAGCCTTCATAAACAGTATTTTTTTAAGTCAAAGTTTTACTTTAAATATCTGATGATTGCTCAAATATCCTAACCCATGAGGTAATAAGTTACAAATATTCTAAATTTAATAACTTAAATGTGATATGGTTAATATGTCATACTGCATGAGTATGTCAACTAATCTCTCAGGCAGATAATTAAAAGGTTTAACAGTTTCAATTTCTGCTAAGAGTGATGTCAGTATTTTAGCAATATAGTGATGACATCCCATTGTAAATGCGTAACATGCTAATGTACATAATACTTGGAATTACACTTGATTGAAGAAATCTATGTACACATCGTTCCATATTCTATGTGCAAATTTTCAACGGTGCAGGTTTATAATTAAAGCTGGGTTTAGCAACACTGACTTCTGAAAGCAAATTATGAAAACACTTCTAAAAGTGAACAAAGTTATAAACAGGTGACACCAGTTCTTTTCTCCCTTTATGTGTGATGAACTTCATGAAGCATTAATTCCCGAGGTATATTTGTTTCTGGACCATACAGCTTATATGCTCTTCTTTCAAAGGCAGCCACCATCTGCTTTACAACTTCATCAAAAAAGAGTGTGGCAAGCTGAGAGTGTAGGAGTGAGCGAAATTCAAACGAAACCTGTAGAAAAATGTTAAATTATTTTAGGAACATCTTTTATTACATTCTCCACTTAGCATAGCAGTACTCATACTGTGAATTGGGCTAACTGGACAGTATCTACAGTAGAGCTGTGTGGGTGTATCTAGGTGAGGTTTTCAGCACCCCCCAGAAGAGAGAGCACAACAGCTGATACAAATTCAAGTAAACAAAGCTCAGGGCAAAGAGTCTGCTTAATAAGTCATAGAAAGCCAGAAAAAATGTTTTGCTGAATGCCACATTTATCACTCTGGCTTATTAACGCATCTCTTTCTATTCATCCCTCAAAAGTAAAAAAAGGAGAGGTAGTGATCCTTCCAGTAGGTATTCCCATGAGTAGCAGCAGGAAGATTAGACTGTGTGCATGCACAGTCATATCTTATTCATAAAACAGATGGGGTAGTGGTTCAACCTTAGTGATTTAGAACTTTATATCCTCTCATTGGTCCAGAAAGAATTCAAGGCAACTTGTTCAAGAAATAGTAATTTAAGACAAATACCTACTAATTTTTTAAATAATAACTTTTCATTTTGAAATAATTTCAGATATACAAGAGATGCTAAATAGTACAAAGAACTCCCATATCACTGATTCCTCTATATTAAATCTTATATAACCACAGTATAATGATCAAAATCAGGAAATTCACAAAAGAGTTACTACTACTATATCATAATGATACTATCTAATCTACACAGACATTCAAATTTCCCAACTATCCCATTAGTGTCAGCTAATTTTTTAATGAAAGTAACTCAAGTGCCAAGACTATCGTATAATTTAGTCAAAATTAGGACTATCAAGATTTAGTACCTGAATTGCAAACACAGAGAACAACCATACATTATCTGTCAGCAAAGAAAATGCCACAGGTGGCTTTAAGTTTTCTATAGCTAAGGTAATGTGAACAAGAAAATTACCATAGTCCCCAAATTCTAAAAACATACTTTTCCTCTTTTCACATAATTTTTGCATTTTATAATCGAAGTGTAGATTTAATTTGGTGTCATGAAGGTTAACTTATTAAGCTGTTAGTCAACTGATGGCATGTTATCTTCTAACCTATGGACTTGTAAAAGTTAGAAACTGGGAAAGCAATGAACATTCAAGGTTATAAGAAAAAAAAAGTTCATTAGCATTCTTTCCTATAAAGTCAATGCAGAAAAAGATATTCAATACTCAGAAATGCGAGATGTTTTAGTAACCTCTATGCACACAAAATCAACCATGGCATCTGAGTTCTACTAAGTGGATTATTCCTTCTTCACCAGACATTCAGAACAAATCAAGGACTTTATGAGAGACTTACTGAAAAATCCAAGGTACAAGTTCTTGGGTAGCCAGGAAGACCTGGGCTAAAACGCCAAATAGTCTCCAAATGATTGAAAAGTCGCCCATCTGTACAGGATGCCTAGAACAAAATTAAAAAATAAAACCAGAGTAAAATACCACTTGGTACTGGCTAGAATTTATCATGATTGAGACTGATTTCTTTGAAAAGTAAACAATTTTTAAAGGTCAACCACAGGTGACGACAAAGCCACCTAATTTTTAAGCTTGGTACTAGGAAGTAATCTCTTGCCAATATATTCCTCTTGGGATCCCAACGATTAGCAGTTGTTCTCTCTTCGACTGTTAAAATCCACTGTGCTACTTAAATCTCTCTCCTCCAGGAACAAAACAGGGAGAGATTTTCTGGCAGGTTATTGCTGTTTAAAAGTTCTTCCAGCCCTGCCACTTACAATGTGATCCTGAGTAATTAATTCCCTGTATCATATTTCCTTCATCTGTAAAATGAGTATAAAGCCTATGTTATACCATCACTATGATGACTAAAAAGTTTGTGAAGTACCTGGCACAGTCCCTAGGATAATTCTAATATTCTCCCTTGTGTATGAAGTTTTATCAAATCACATTTAGTCTTTTCTTCACTCTTCATTACCAGAGGCCTCTATGGCTCCAGTTTTCTTCCGAGTATGGCTTCTACCCATTTCTTTCTGATCTATTCAGTGCCGATGTATATTTTACGTGTGTGTATACACTGAAACTCAATAGTCATACTATGTGCAGTGCAATTTGGTATTTCTCCTGTATATATCACTAAAAAAAAAAGAAAAAAAATTGCCAACTGAGACCCACTGAAGGGTTTTCACCTGCAGTGTGAAAAACAGTGGCCAGAAACATTCAATACTGCACCACTCAGAATATTCTGATTATGACTTTGAGTCATGTTCAACTCTTTACCTACTTTCTACTCAAGATGCTATCTGAGCCTTATTATCCCAGTAGACAAGTGACCTCAAGGATTTATATCACCTCTCAGTAGCAGACCAATTTTTAATTCCTTGTTTCAAAGTCACAGCCCCTCCCCAATTAAGTCTTCAACTTTCAGTTCTTTTGGCATATCCTGAGGCCAGTAAATGCTCAAGTCCCTCTATCCTCCTCCTCTTTGATAATGTATTATCCAACCCAACTCATCCCAATCCCACCCCCCATTTAGATTGCTCCTCCCCTAAGGCTATAAACCCTACAGGTATAAATTAGCAAAATAGTGACTTGTATAGGTAAACTTTTTGGTGCAGTGACGTGTATTACTTCCATCTTCTTTTGATGCTTTCTGCGTTAATATTTTCCCCGTAGAATCCTTCGATATTGCAACTCAAGCCTTGAATTTTTTCTTCAGTTCTTTCAGCTTGAGAAATGCCCAGCATAGTCTTCCCTTTTGGTTTTCTAACTCCAGGTCTTTGCGTATTTCATTATAATACTTTACTTTGTCTTCTCGAGCCACCCTTTGAAATCTTCTTTCAGCTTTTACTTCATTATTTCTTCCATTCACTTTAGCTATTCTATGTTCAAGAGCAAGTTTCAGAGTCCCTTCTGACATCCATTTTTGGTCTTTTCTTTCCTGTCTTTTTAATAACCCTTTGCTCTCTTCATGTATGATGTGCTTCCACAACTCATCGGGTCTACAGGTATAAATTAGCAAAACAATGACTTACATAAAACAAAAAACCAAACCTGCTGCTGTCGAGTTGATTCCAACTTATAGTGACCCTGTAGGACAGAGTAGAACTGCCCCAGAGTTTCCAAGGGGCACCTGGTGGATTCAAACTGCAGACCTATTGGTTAGCAGTCATAGCACTTAACCACTACACCACCAAGTAAACTATTTTCTCCCAAAGTAAACAGAGTCACTTTTTCTTCCCCAGTCATAGCCTCCCTAAACACAAAACCTAGGATCATTTCTCAGACTAAATTCTGGATCTTACCACAGACAGGTCAAACTGGGAGTCAAAGAACAAAAATCTATTCATAGTTTTGTTCCTAACTTCCTCTTTATCTAAATCCTTTTGAATCAATTATGGCATGGTATTATTATAAAGAAGCACTACCCATCTGTCAGTCGGTCCTACTGTGGTGGCTTGCATGTTGCTATGATGCTAGAAGCTATGCCACTGGTATTTCAAATACCAATAGAGTCACCCATGGTGGACAGGATTCAGTCGGGCTTCCAGACTAAAACTAGGTTGGTGATTTATTTTTGAAAACTAACCAACGAAAACCCTATAGATCGCAACAGATTGTCCGATATAGTGCTGGAAGATGATCCCCCTAGGTTGGAAGGCACTACAACATGGCCACAACAATGGACTCAAACATGCCAACAATCATGAAGATGGCACAGGACCAGGCAACATTTCCTTCTATTGTACATAGGATCATCATGAATGGAGCCAACTCAATGGCAACTAACAACATTATAAAGAAGGTCAGCTGCACCCAAACTAAAAAACACTTATAAAGGAATGCTCTACTTAGCTATGTTTATATAAAAAAAAAATTAATTTTTGTAATGGAAACAAGTGAATGATTAGAAATTTGGACATGATGATACCCATTGCCGTCAATTCCGACTCACTGCAACCATAGGGGACAGAGTAGAACTGCCCCATAGGGTTTTCAACGAGCAGCGGGTGGATTTGAACGCCAACTTTTTGGATAGCTGCCGAATGCTTAACCACTGTGACACCAGGGCTCCATGAAAATACTATGTTAATAACTGAATTTAGTCACATTATACTAAGTCACTGGGGAGAAGCAAAAATTTTCTTCAAAGTATTCAGCTTTATATATATATACAAATAATAGCCATATAATTTTTAAAAACATCAAGAGTCAATGACAAAAAGTTATCCAACTTTAAGATAATACATTCTCCCTCACCTTTACAATCACATAAGTCATTTACAGGAAATTTAACACTGAAGTAGAAACAACTGCTGGGAACACTCCAATAGAGCACTTTCTTCTAACCACGTCTACACAAAATGTGGCAGTACTGTACTCATACTGATAATCTAGCCAGAGACCCATGGATTTTTACTAGTATATTTTGATAGGAACAATATTGCCAAAGATTTCATGCCTAACAGGAAAGGATACTGAACATAGTAGAAGCTGTTAAGATGATGATCTACTGGCTGTTCTTGGTAAACTGACTAAACAAACCATCCCATAGTATATGTTCATACTGTGAACCAGGCAGTAAGATTCACTTAACATTAAATTCATACTGAATTTTGCCTCTATTAAATCTGCTCAAAACTTTCCAGGGCTTCTGGCCATTACACATAGGCATAAACTAGAATTACTGAAGCATTAAGTCACAGGCATACTTTAGGCAATAATACATGGAAAATACAGTTTCTGATGTTCCGTTGGTCATGATTTTTATTATATGTCAAATATGCATGTTAAGTATTCCAAATCCAGAACCTGCATCAAGGGACAACTGAAAGCTGAGCATATTAGCATTATTTTGCTAATTTATACCTGTAGGGATTATTTATAGCTTTAGGGAAGGGGCCCTGGTGGCCCAGTAGTTAAGCCCTTGGCTGCTAACCAAAAGGTCGGTGGTTTGAACCCACTCAGCAGCTCCATGGGAGAAAGATGTGGCAATCTGCTCATGTAAAGAATACAGCCTTGAAAACCCTATGGGGCAGTTCTACTCTGTCCTATAGGGTTATTGGGAGCTGAAATTGACTCAAAGGCAATGAGGTTTTTTTTATGACTGTAGTTATAATTCCATTTGCAAATAGGTTTTCTTTGTTATGTTAATGAGGTAGGATTAGTGTAGGATGTATCTTGAGTCAACCTCTTTTGAAATATAAAAGAGATTAAACAAGTAAGCTAGAGAGCAGAAATGGGGGAAGAGAGACACCAAGCCCACGTGAAGATTGCCCAGGAGCAGGAGCTCGAAAGAGACAAGGACCTTCCTCCAGAGTCGACAGAGAAAGCCTTCCCCTGGAGCTGGCACCCTGAATGTGGACTTCTAGTCTCCTAAAGTGTGAGAAAATAAATTTCTGTTTGTTAAAGCCACCCACTTGTGGTATTTCTGTTATAGCAGCACTAGATAACTAAGACATATATTTTTGTTATTCTCAAATATATCTTTAAACAATAAACTGGCAAATTAAATAAGACAGCTTATAATGGCAAAATAAATTAGTTTTAGGATCAGTCACAGACAGACTTTGTGCCAAGTTCTTAATCTCCCTAAGCCTCATAAAACTGAGATAGCAATTCTCATCTAACACAGGTTATTGTGAGATTTTTTTCTAATACAGCTTCTTCTCTCCTGGGTAATGTTGAAAGCTATTCTGAGATTATTATGGACATCTCTGGATCTGCGATAACCCAAGAATACAGGTAGTCCTCAATTTACAACATATTCGAGTTAACGACAAACCATACTTACGACCATCTGTTTTGGTTTATTTATTTTTTTGTACATCTTATTGTTAGTGATATGTACTAAATACAGTGTTGCAGCCTGTACTTTGCTGATGTTATCATTCTCAGATGTTCACTTGCAGGTTCAATTTTATGATTTACTATTTAAAACACTGTCATATAGATTTAGTTTTCTAAACTAAATCAGGGGCTTCAGCTGCTTGAAAACAAGGACCCAAAAGCTGATCGCTTTGCTAATGTCGATAGGTAGATTCAGGAAGGAGTGAGATGTTACCGTGAAATAGATGAAGGAAAAAAGAAAAGGACCATACAGACAATTCTCACTAATTTTCTGACTAGAAACACAGACCCATTCCCAGGGATAATCCAGATGATCCAGAACCTTCCACAAGTGGAGTTATTACTGCAACTGACAAAATGCCAACATCATCCAACTCTTTGGAGTAAATTTGACGATTTGTGTATGTTTTTATGTATGTATTACATCTGTAAAAGCTTATGTAATGTTTCCAACCCCCAAAGACAAAGATCAGATTTATTAAGATACTGATAATAAAAGGCAGTAATAATGAAAACTAATTAAAAAAATAAGGTATTTGACTTATGTCTGAACTGACTTAGGAGGAAGTGATCAGAATGGAGCCCCGTTGTAAGTTGAGGACTACCTGTACAGTGAGTAAGGCCTTCATAAGCAAAGAGCCTCCTTGACTCCATTATTGTAATACTGGTAGTACTGATGCTAGGGATATAGAGATGAAAAAAGACAGGTCCCTTCCTTCAAGGGGCTCAATCTTGTTAAGAAGTCCAGTTGAACAAATAAATTTTCATAGAGAGTGATAAACATAAAGCTAGCAGATACAACAAAGTCAAGAGGAATCACAGAGGTGAGCATGATTCTCTATGTGAATAAAAGGGGAAAAAAAACATGAGACAGCTATATTTCAAAGGATTAATAAGCAATGAGTTAAGTTCACTGTAAGTATTAAGAGGGAACAATATACAAACGCACAAAGCTGTGGAATAAATAGTGTGCGGTACCTTCAGGGAACTTTTAGATATATGGCACTGCCTGAATACAAAGTGTGGGGTGGGGCAGAGGGGTGCAGAGGGAGGAGTATATGGGTCTGTGTGCAACGCTACAGAGTTTGACTTTATCCTGCATGTGTTGGGAATCCAGGGAAGGGAAGAAAAATGAGGTTTTCCAGAGTTCTAAATAAAAGCAACATAGTATATTTAAAGATATAAAAAACTGATTGATAAGAGATTGACGTCAGAGAATAGAAAATGAGAATTTAAGATTATAGACATATTCATGAGTATCAGACAGACTGAGCTGGAGTGTTGGCTCTATCGCTAGCAATATGACATCAGGCAACTTAACTCTTCTAAGCCTTAGTTTGTTCAACTATAAGGTGAAAAATAATGCTTGAACCTCAGAGTTGTGAAGATTACATGAGCAATTCCAATAAAATACTAATAAGGATTCAATAAATGTTAGCCATTATATGAGGGACAATGTAGTGTAGTAGTTAAAAACTCCAAAACTATGGAGCAAACAGGTGAAGACAGTTTTAATAGCGGCAAAGTCCCAGGGAGGGATATAGCATTTTAAGTGGAGTTCAAGTTTTGAGAGTAAGAACAGGACAGACTACAGAGTCTTAGCTTAACTGGACACTATACTCCTGTTGTGAGAGTTGCACCCCTTCAATGCACAACAAAGAGCTGACCAGGGCATCTAGTCTTGGCCAATTATGAAGAAATGGTATCACCATTCAGTCCTGTGGGCACAAACACACGACTCAGCTTTACAAGTCATCGACCACCACACTCTAGGAATTCAAAAGAAACGGGTATTATTCCATGAAATTCTGATTTTTTGTGTAAGTCTGGTTACTTATGCTACATGTGTATCTGCTTCTACCAAGGGTAAGAGGATTAATATGATGCATGTAACAGTACCTGGCATTACAGTACCTAGTACATGGCAAGACAGACTCAACATTAATGTTCTTCACATTTCTATCTTCTCTAACATTCTTCATTCTCTCACTGCTCTCTCTTCCTCAGTTCTTAAAAATATGTATCTATTAAACAATATCTTGTCTCCTTTCTTAATTTTACCTGCAATGGTAAAGCATTTAATATTTTTCTTGTAAAATAATGCATTAAAATAATTAAAACATTTCTCACTTGTGTGGCCCAGAACTGAACTTTTCTGTGGGTCAGAATTTCTCAAAAGAAGGAAAAGAAAAGTGTACCATTTCCATTTTCTAGTCAAAATCCTGGGAGCCCTGGTGGCGCAGTGGTTAAGAGTTTGGCTGCTAACCAAAAGGTCGGCAGTTTCAATCCACCAGCTACTCCTTGGAAACCCTATGGAGCAGTTCTGCTCTGCTTACAGGGTCACTGTGAGTCAAAATCGACTCGACAGGGGTTTGTTTTCTTTTGGATAAAATAACACCATTAGGAGATATGAGAAATGGTTTGGGCTTCTTTTTTTTCCCCCCATTAGTTTACAGAAATCTTTTTAAGCTACCACATTAACATATGTAAAATTTGACATATTTGATACAAATCAACATTTGGGGAATGTTTAAAAACAAAAAACAAAACTATTACCTTTACCAAATGTGGCTTCACAAGGGTTACTACAGATGTATATCGCTCCAAAACAGGTGGAAACCCAATTTCTAATCGTGCTTTGCAGTATCCAGATCTCTTTGATATTATATCTGATTTTTTGCACCAAGGAACAAAATGCTTATAATGCTCCACTCCCGATACTACATCATACATTTCCTGCATAGAATATCTTAGAAAGAGGGAGAGGGAGAGGGAGAGGTGTTAATGGCATCTAGTTATAAGGTATACAACTTTAAATTGAGTATGAGTAAAACTTACTGAGTATGAGGCATGGAACACGCATGTTGAGCCACACTCTGGAATGAATGACTTTCAAAGCAATATAAAAAATAGAAAGGAAGCAAATATATATATATAGTAGAGGTCACAATCTGGCAGCACACAGGCTAGATCTAGCCTGCATATGTGATTTTCAAATTTTTAATTAGTTGCCAACATTTAAAAATTGAGAGTTTACATCAAAAACTGGATTCATGGCTTCTCTTAAAAAATTAAGATCTTGCAACAATGGGTCCTCATTTCTGCATAATAAGAATTGGCTTCCATGTGCATGGATTGGAAGACTTAATGTTGTTAAGATGTCAATACTACCCAAACCAATCTATAGATTCAATGCAATCATGATCAAAATTCCAACAGCCTTTTTTTACAGAAATGGAAAAATCAATCCTCAACTTTATATGAAATGACAAGAGGCCCCAAACAGCTAAAGCAATGATGAAAGAGAACAAGGTAGGAGGACTCACACTTCCTGATTTTAAAATATATTATACAGCTACAGTAATCAGAACAGCCTGGTACTGGTACAACAGACACACAGACCAATGTAACTGAATTGAGAGTCCAGAAATAACCCCACACATCTATGGTCAACTGATTTTTGACAAGGGTGCTAAGTCCATTCAATGGGGAAAGAAGAATCTCTTCAATAAATGGTATTGGGAAAACTGGATTTCCACAAGGAGAAAATAGAATCCATGCCTCACACCACACACAAAAACAAATTCCAAATGAATTAAGGACCTAACTGTGCAAACTAAAACCATAAAATTCTTAGAAAAAAATTCAGGGGCAATGCTGTCAGGCCTAGCTTTTAACAATGGATTATCTAATATAATAACAAAAGCACAAACAGCAAAAGACAAAATAAATAAATGGGACCTTACAAAAATCAAAAACTTTTGTTCATCAAAAGATTTTATCAAAAAAGTGAAAAGACAAGCTACCGGCTGGGAGAATATCTTTGGAAACCACATATCCAATAAGAATCTAATAACCAAAATATACATAAAATTTTGACAACAAAAAGACAAATAATCCAATCATCAAATAGGCAAAGGACTTGAATAGACATTTCACTAAAGACGACATTTAAATGGCCACAAACACATGAAAAAATGCTCAATGTCATTAAGCATCAGAAAGATGCAAATCAAAACCACAATGAGATACCATTTCATTTTCCCACTAAGATGGCTAAAACAAAAAACAAAAACAGAAAATAGCATATGTTGGCAAGGATGTGGGGAAACTGGAACCCTTATCCACTGCTGACGGGAGTGCAAAATGGTACAGCCGTTGTGGAAAAGAATGGGGTGGTTCCTCAAAAATACTAAAATTAGAACTACTATATGACACAGCAATTCCACTTCTAGGTATCTACCCAAAAGACTTGAAAGCAGACACTCAAACAGATACTTGTACACTCACGTTCATCGCAGCACCATTCACAACAGCTAAGAGGTGGAAACAACCTAAATGCCCAAAACAGATGAATGGATAAACAAAATGTGGTACACACAAACAATGGAATACTACTCAGCCAGTAAGAGAAATGAAGTCTTGATGTTCGCTACAATTCAGATGGAGCTCGAAGACATTATGCAGAGTGAAATAAGTCAGAAAACAGAAGGATAAATAGTATATGTTCTCCTTTATATAAAAAGACAAGCTAATGAGTAGAGACAAAAGTTTATTAGTGGTTCCTGGGGTGGGAGGGAGGGGGAAAGTGGGAGTTATTGCTTATGAGTACTGAATTTCGGTTTACAGTGATGTGTAGGGTTGCACAGCCGATTAATGTAATTACTGTCAATAAGTTGTACACCTGTAAACTGAATTGGCAAGAGTTGTGTGATGGATATATTTATACCTACACACACACACACACAAAGAGTAGCTGCTGAGGCTGTTTATGTACAACCAAACTCCTCATGGGATTTGGTTCCTTGGTTTGGAGGTTTAGGGTCATGGTTTCATGGGATATCCCAGTTAATTGGCCTAATGTATTCAGTGCTTTTGTTCGACCTAGTTTGTTGTGTAGTACCTAGGGTCTTAAAGGCTTTCAAGAGGCCATCCAAGATATAATAATTGGTCTCTATTTGCCTGAAGCAACAGAGGAAGAGTCAGGAATAGGAGGAGGATATGGAATGGGTAGCTAAGTGCCTCCAAGAACAACTGCCTTCTTTGCCATGAGACCAGGAGGACTGGATGGTGCCCTGCTACCATTACGGAACATTTTGATCAAAGATTTTATAGAAGAATCTTGATCAAAGGGGGGAAAATGCAGATGAGAATTTCAAATTCTCATGGAATCCAGATTTTCTGGAGCCACAGAGGCTGGATGAACCCCTGAAACTATTGTCCTGAGATAATCTTTAAACCTTAAACCAAAATATTCCTGAAGCCTTCTCAAAATCAAACAATAGTTTAGCTTAACTAGTAAAGAATGTGTGCCTTGAGCATTACGTTCTTTTAAGATCTGTCTGTATGGGATCAAACTGACAACAGTAACTTGAAAAGATTAGATAGGAAACTTAGGGGGCAGTGACTTTATGTTAATGGGGGAGGAAAAACTTGGAAAAGGTGAGAATGGTTGCCCACCTTGAACAATGTAACTGATGTCACTGAACTGTACATGTAGAAATTGTTGAATTGGTTTATGTTGTGCTATGCCTATTCTCAAAAACAACAACAAAGAATTGGCTTGAGTTGACTAATATTATTTCTTACTTGGAGCTAGCAACTTCACTTTCAGCAATTTATCCTCAGAGACATTGCCACATTGTACAAAAAATGTTCAACACTGATTGTGAGGACAAAAAACAAAAACTAGAAGCAGCCTAAAGTTCTATCAGTTGGGGAATGTTTTAATACATTAAGATATACCCATAGTGCAGATTCTTAAAATTTACTTTAAAATTTGTTTACAAGAGCTCAGATATGTACTTAAAAGAAAAAAGTTTACGATATATTATTATATTTAAAAAGCACTACACAGTACATGTATGATTCTAACTATTTAAGAAAAACCATAAGCTTACACTGTTTTCCTGATTTAAAATTATTTAATATGTTTTTCTTAAAAACATTATTATATCAATAGAATGTCTGTAAGGAAAATACACAGAAAAAGTCCTGGAAGGATACAGATTAAATAATTAATAGTTAACTCTGGGAAACGAACTAGGGATAAAAACAGACTGTTTTATTCTACATACTTTTACGCTGTTAGGCTTTTATACAAGCATGTAACACCACTTAAGAAAAGGAAAACTTTTCTCAAACTCAAAGGAAGGAAGTCTCCCCATTGTTCTGCATTCTACCTTGCTGAGTAGCGTCTGGGGTCTTAAAAGCCTGTGAGCAGCCATTTAAGATACTCCACTGGTCTCACCCCTTTGGGAACAAGGGCGAATGAAGAGAACAGGATACAAGGAAAAGATTAGTCCAAAGGACTAATGGACCACAGCAACCAAGGCCTCCACCATATTCAGTCCAGAACAGCTAGACGGTGCTTGGCCACCACCGACTGCTCTGACCGGCATCACAACAGAGGGTTCTGGACAGAGCTGGAGAAGGATGTAGAACAAAATTCTCACACACAAAAAAAGACCAGATTTACTTGCCTGACACAGACTGGAGAAACCCCAAGAGTATGGCCCCCGGACACCCTTTTAGCTCACTGGTGAAGTCACTTCCAAGGTTCACCATTCAGCTGGGGATTGGACAGCCCCATAAAACAAAACGGGACTAATGAGGCACAGCAGTCCAGGAACAATGACTAGAAGGCAGAAGGGGACAGGAAAGCTGGTGATAGGGAACCCAAGGTTGAGTAAGGAGAGTGTTGACATGTAGCGGGGTTGTTAACCATTGTCATAGGGCAACATATGTATTAACTGTTTAATGAGAAACTATTTTGTTCTGTAAACCTTCATCTAAAGTGAGAATAGCAGCACAACTGGAAGAACATAATCGATGTAACTGAATTTTACATGTAGAAATTTTTGAAATGGTGTATCTTTGGCTATGTATATTTTCACCAAAAAAAAAAAAAAGGTCCTCCAAGGCCAAGAAGGGAGCGTGTTGACATGTCATGGGGGTTGTTAACAAATGTCATAAAACAATATGTGTACTGTTTAATGAGAAAATATTTGTTCTGTAAACCTTCACCTAAAGTACAATAAAAAAAAAGATGTTTTCCAAAAAAAGGAAGTCTCTCATTCTTTTTATGCACCAGCATAACATCCTGACAACTAAAGACTGACAAAGAACATAAAAAACAAAAAACAAAACTTGAGACCAACATCACTATTACCTGTGAGTACTGCGGCAAAAATTCTAAATATTACCAAACAGAATCTAGCAGTATGTTAAAAAAAAATCTACAACAATCACATGCAGCTCATTTAGCGATATATGGATGATTCAAGTCTAAGTGCCTCAAAAGAAAAGCCTGGTGATCTACTTTCAAAAAATCAGCCATTAAAAACCCTATGAAGCCTAGTTCTACTCTGACACACAGAGGTCACCATGAATTAGAACTGACTCGAAGGCAACTGGTGGTGATGGTGGTGGTGAGTGGCCTAATATTAAGAACTCTATTATTATAACCATACCAGTTGGCCAAAAGAGGAAATACTATATGATCCCCTCTATACATGGTAAAATACTCTAATTCCCATGAAAGTAAAAAATAAGGCAAAATTGCTAGATGTTATCATTATTATTTAATGTTGTTCTGGAAGTATCAGCCAACGTAATTACATCAGAGCATAAAATATGAGGTATATGTGCTGGAAAGAATTAGGCAAAATTACCACTTGGCAATTGGTATGACAATTTATCCATTCAGAAGAGAATTATCACTTGGCAGGTGGTATGACAATTTATGAATTCAGAAGGGAATCAATACAGAATTCAGTAAAGTGGCCCGTTAGAAAACATAAAAATCAATGTCTTTCCTATACTAACAAGAACCAGTTACTCAACAAAAATAAATTATAAAAAAAGAACCAGTTAGAAAATAGCACAGAAATGCAAAATACCTAGAAATAAACTCAACAATAATGTTCGAAGCTTAAGTTAAATAAATAAATATACAAATAAAAACCTCCATGGACATACGTAAAAGACAAGCTGAATAATGAACCAGACATATATTATTCTTGGTTATGAAACCTCAATATTGTAAAAATATAATTTGTCCCAAAATGAAATAATAATTTAACACAAGCACAATCTAAAGTACAAAAGGATATTTTTGAAATATGACAGAATTTGAGTCTTTATGTATGTTTAATCTTTATAATTATGAAAGGAGGCACACAGCGGGGAGTAGGGTGGGGCGGGGTGGGGACAGGACTAGCCACCCTGGATTTTCAGACACTTTTAAAATAAATGCTTCAATAGGTCAAAGAAAAGTATAAAACTTTATAGCCTGGAAGTTCACTGTCAGAAAAGCAGTCTATGAAGACTAAGAAAGTAGTATAGCATGGTGGTTGAGGGGATAAATTTCCTATGTCAGAAGGTACTGTGTTCAAATATAAACTCTAAAACACAGTAGTCATATGACCACTAGCTAGGTTGCTTAACCTGTTTTCTTCACCCATAATTGAAAAAATACTTTTACAGGGTTCTTTTCAAGGTTAAATGAAATAGTTTCAGCACACCGTATGATCTGAAAAAGCACTTAATAAATGCTAGCAATTATTACTCTGTGTTTATGCCAAATATGAGGGAAAAAAAGATAATCTGAAGATCATTGGATAAGAGCAATTTGTAATAAAAATAATTTTAGCAAGAGAAGAATAAGGAAGCAAAGTAAATATGGTGGAAAAAAATAAGCTTTGGAGTCATGGTGCTTAATATACATTATCTTTCTAAGCTTCAGTTTCCTCATCTCTAAAATGGGAATAACAGTATCTACTTTATATGACTATTGTGAGGATTAAATGAAATAATAAATACAAAGCACCCAGCAGTGCCTGTCAAATGGCAGGTACACAATAAAAGGTAGGTATTATTAGCAATTCAAAAAGAGACAAATTTACAATTATCTTTAAATTGCCACTTCTCTTTTGTTAAGATACCAGTTGTAGCAAAGACGGCCACCTATCCAAAGATCTGTGCTTCCTTTATATAACGATGTTGTTGAAGTAACTGCCCATTAAGGTGCTACAATTCAGTCCCCACCTTGCATTTAGCTGGGGTCACATGACTAGCTCTTGCCAATAATACCTGAATGGAAGTGATGCACATCACTTTCAGACCTATATGGTTAAACAGTGGTATACCTTTTTTTTTTTAACCAACTCTGAAGACTAGAGAATTACAGAAGTCATAAGTTGGATGAAGCCTAGGTTCCTGAATCACTACCTGAAGCAGAGTTGCCTATGGATCAGACATAGTCATTTGAAATTTACATGAGAAAAAAACAAACTTCTGGGTTTTTTTGGATAGCAACTGATTAACTGATACAGTGACTAACAAGTACATTCTGACTCATGGCAATCCCATGTGTTGCAGAGCAGAATTGCACTCCATAAGGTTTCCAAGGTGTGACCTTTTGGAAGCATACTGCGAGGCCCTTCTTCCGAGGAGCCTCGGGGTGGGTTCAAACTGCCACCCGGCGACCCCTAATATAGGCGAATATGACAAAAGCTACGAGTCTGCTGAAAGGTCTTTACTACAGAAAAGTCAGAAGACAAAGAGCAACTGATTAAAAAGAAAGAAATGCCCTTTTCCAAGGCTTCATGTAATACTTAATGGTCTGTTGGGAATTAGACCTCATTCTAGAAATTCTCATACGGAGGGATGTTGCATTGTGGTTAGCTTAAGTGTAGATTCTTGACCCACTATAGTATCTTCTACTGTATATACTCCTAGATCAGGGGCCAAATCTGGCTCAATATCTGTTTTTGTAAATAAAGTTTTATTAGAACACAGCCATGCCCATTCGTTTATGCACTGTGTATGGGTGCTTTGGACTATACCAACAAGGTTGAGTAATCACAAGAGACCGCAAAGTTGAACATATTCACTATCTGGCCCTTTACAGAAAAAGTGAGCCGACCCCTGCTCTAGATGGTTGGAGCCTCTTAGTAGGTATACATGTATTTTTCTATGTACATGCGTATGTGAGTGAGCTATACAAACATCTGGCTCAATATATCAGTACTGTTGTCACTGCAGAAATGAACAATGTACAAAATTCAGGTCATAAACGATTAAAACAAATTATTTCCTTTATATATCAAGGTTTACATCTACAGCCTATGAAGTTACCATACAATTACATTCTTTCAAGAAATATTTACAAAACAGTAAGGATTATGGAAGGCCAACCTAGAAAAAACTACGGTTTAGTCTACAACAACAGAATCCAGAGAAAAAGAGGCATAATACTCCATAGAAAATTGTAAAGGTGCTCTTTTAGTAGAACTGTTATTATATACAAACCCTAGTATTCTCCTCTCTGAATATTCTCTTCTTTTGTTTATTAATGGTGCAGTGATTTTGAAGAAAGTTCTTGCATGTATCTCCTTAGGCACGACTGAGGTATGTAGTGGAAGAGTTCTGCTCATCAATATACCACAGGAAGCTAAATATCTAAAGAAACAAAAATTACTGGCTTTAGAGTGACATTGAAAATCAAGAGGAAACACAAATTATAAAAATTGTAAAATAAATTTTACATTTTAGAAGCCTTTACAACTTTGAATATTCCTGAAGTTACACACACACACACACACACACACACACACACACACACACACCTGCACAGACACAGGGAAATTTAAACTTCTTGGTATGTTTTAGAAACCCTGGTGGCGTAGTGGTTAAGTGCTACCGCTGCTAACTAAAAGGTCGGCAGTTCGAATGCACCAGGCGCTCCTTGGAAACTCTATGGGGCAGTTCTACTCTTTCCTATAGGGTCGCTGTGAGTGAGAATTGACTTGACGGCAAACGGGTTTGGTTTTTTTTGGTATGTTAAGAAAACTAAAAATAACAGCTTACAGTTTTGGTTAGAAGCTTCTGGCACAAAAGGTATCTCTTCCAGAAAGTTGGCTTTTAGTCTATAGTCACATGCTTCAATATACTCTTGCCATATGCTTGCTAGAATATTCATCATATATTTTTCATCTCATCTTACCTACCCAAGTTTTTTTCCCAGCTAGAGATCCTATTGTTGTTAGCTGCCATCAAGTTGGCCCCCGACTCATAGCAATTCCATGTACAACAGTAACTGACTGTTGTGATCCATTGGGTTTTCACTGGCTGATTTTTGGAAGTACATTGCCCTTTTTTTTTTTTTAAATTGTTGTAATTAAATGAAGTTCACATTTCAAGTTAGTCTCCCATACAAATTTTTTTTTTTTACATACCTTGTTATGAGACCCCAACCGCTCACCCCATTCTGTGACAGCAAACTCCTCCCCTCCGCCCGATTCCCCATGAACATTCAACCAGCTCTTAACTCTCTCTGCCTTCCCATCTCCCCTCTGGACAGAAGCTGCCCCTTTGGTCTCTTGTATCTACTTGACTAAGAGGCACACTCCTCACAAGTATCATTCTATGTCCCACAGTCCAGTCCAATCCCTGTCTGAAGAGTTGGCCTCGGAAACTGTTTTAGTTCTGGGCTGACAGAGAGTCTAGGGGCCATGCTTTCCGGGGCACCTCCAGTCTCAGTCAGACCATTAAGTCTGGTCTTACTAGAATCTGAGTTCTGCATCCCTTCCTTCTACTGCTCCATCAGGGACCCTCTGTTGTGCTCCCTGTCAGGACATTCACTGGTGGTAGCCAGGCACCGTCTGGTTCTTCTGGTCGCAGGCAGATGAAGTCTCTGGTTTATGCGGCCCATCCTGTCTCTTGGGCTAATACTTTCTTCGTGTCTTTGGTGCTCTTTGTTCTCCCTCACTCCAAGTGGTTGGGACCAACTGATGCATCTAAGATGGTGCCAGGCCTTTCTTTCTAGTCTGTCTTACTCTGGAAGCTCCGCTGAAATCTGTTCAGTATCAAAGCAACATGCAAGCCTCCACTGACAGAGTATTAGGGGCTGCGCTTGAGGTGCACTGGCCGGGAATCAAACCCAGGTCTCCCACATGGAAGGCAAGAATTCTACCATTAAAGCACCTGAGTTTCTTAATTCTTGATCTATTCTAATGAGACTTGAAATTATATCTTGCTTTCATATGAAATTTGGAGGCTCTGATAGAAACTGTTGCACCATTCTCCTTTACCTTCCAATTTCCATTTCCACACATATATGTAAAAATATGCATCTGGATAATTAGAAAGTCAATTGTTTGGAGGACTTCTAAGTACAGATGCCCAATATACTAGTTTACCTAAACACTGGAGCCCTGGTGGTGCAGTAGTCAAGCGCTTGGCTGCTAATCGAATGGTTTGCAGTTTAAGCCCACCAATGGCTCCATGGAAGAAAGATGTGGCAGTTTGCTTCTGTAAAGATTTACAGCCTTGGAAACCCTATGGGACAGTCCTACTCTGGCGTATAGTATCGCTATGAGTCGGAATCAACTCGATGGCAATGGGTTTGCTTTTTTTTTAACCTAAATATTTTTAGCCTTTCCCTTACAATATTTTTGAATAGCTATTTTACAGTACATTTCAATCATTAGTTCACATAGTTATTGAGCTATTCTATATTAGACTCTGCCAGGTACTAGGAACATAAAACTCGTTGCCTTTGAGTGGATTTCAACTCATGGTGACCCCATGCGTTTCAGAGTAGAACTGCTCCATAGGTTTTCTTGGCTGTAATCTTTCACATAAGCCGATTGCCAGGACTTTCTTCCACGGTGCTGCTAGGTGGGTTTGAACCACCAACCTTTAGGTCAGTAGTCGAGCATAAACCCATTTGTGCCACTCAGGGACCTGTATTAGGAATATAATGGTGACTATAACAAACAAGAAATTTACAAAGATTACATTCTCATTGGGAATTAAAAAAAAAAGATGCTAGGAGGGAGAGTACTGAGTACTCTCTGTGAATAGTTGATGTCAGAGATGATAGAGTGGTACAGCAATTTGGAAAAGTTGGACATTTGGGACATCTTTAACCTCTGCCTCACAGGAACCAATTTTGTGTTGATCTTTATCAAAGAAATTACTCATTTAGTTGGTGTCAAAATGATGGGTTTCGCTGCAATAGCCCCGACTCACTGGAATATGTGGTTTTGGAAAAAAGGGGATAAATGGAAGAATGAGAAACCTTTGGTATCTGGATGAGATAAAAAAAACCTATGAATTGAAGCAGGTGTTATGCTGCCATCAGTTACCCAAGGAAAAACCTATTCATGTGAAGTAGGAGTGGTGGATCTAACTCCTGAGGAATTGGCTAGTTGGATGGAAATACAGAGTGACAGGAAAGGGCCAGACATACAATTCCTTGGTTTCTGTTATCAGTAATAGATGCAATGGCAGGGAAAAAGAATATAGGTGCAGATTTTAGCACTGACCAAGCCCAGATCCGGTCCAGTTGGAACTACGACTGCTAGTCTCAGGGCAGTCCTGGGGCCAACCCATAAAGCAAAAACTGTGCCAGAATAACAGGAAGTATCCCTATGACAGCTGGTCACCAAGAAGGTAATCTGCGGGGGAATGGGCAAAGCTAAGAAACTACTGAAACCAAAGGGTATAGTGTAAAGGAGTTTCTTCAATTTGTAGATTGGTATCATCAGTTTCCTGAGGAGCTGTTACTAAAATGGATTGCAAGAGTGACTAATTTAGGCGCAGTGGCTTTAGTTTCGAATGCTGCAGAATAGATGAGTATGTTTGGGTTGGTGCATGACCTACAACTCACTATGGAGCAGTCACGAATGATGACACAAGATCCAGTTACATAGCAGGTTAACCCGGAGGGGATGGCCAGCCTGGTGGACTGGATAAATTGCAGTGAGATTTGTTTACCCTGAGAAGGGAAACTGCCCCCTTCTCCTCTAAATACCCAATGGAACACCAGAGGAAGCAACTGATATGCTGCTTATGCAAGCCATGCCAGAATGGATTTATCGTAATCAGGATATTCATCCAATGAATATGCCCCTTACACAGGTCATGCAGATATGGTAATCAAGGGACCTCCTTCTACATGGGCACCCCATGTAACCTTGCTACTGTGAAACAACGTAACGATCTGAAAAGCCTTGTTGGATCTGTTGGCACATCTTCCCCACATGGGTCTTACAGATGCAAGAAACAAAACGGTGATTCCTAGGAGAATGGGAAAAGGCAATGGGGAAAAAACTCACCCCAGCAGGACAGAGATTTTTAGATGGTTACTAAGAAATGGGATGAATATAGCGGACATTGATGGAGTTGAGACAAAGGTTCTAATGCAGGACTACAGGAGATTGGGTGGACCAACAGAAACTCCTGCTGGTCCCCCAACTTAAAGAGGCCTAAACAAGTCTGTTCTAGTCATCTCAGCTGGCAGCAATTTAATGATGGGAATTCCCATCTGGGACCATTTGAAACAGAGGCTCAGCTAGGTGATCAAGATAAAGATTGACGAGCGGGCCATGGTCTTCTGGTCCAGCCCCCAGCAGGGGACCCAAGGCCATATGCACACGTGTGGGTGAAATGGCCATTGGGTAGGGAAGAGACCTTCTTGGGGCTCCTGGACACAGAAGCCCAATGTATTGTAATCCCAAAACCTGTCAATAAAATCTTGAAGGGGCCTAAGGTTAAACTAAGGGGGATACAGGGATGCAACGGTTGATGGGACTAAGGTGAAAGTTTGGATGAGAATTGGAAAATTTAAACAGATCTTGTATGAAGTAGTTATATCTCCCCTACCTGAATGTATTATTCGTATGGATATTAAGTCTAATTAGGAAACACTCCCTCTATCTGATTGTGTAAGACTGAAGGCGTGGAAGTCTGTCCGTGGGTCAGTATTGATCGGACATGCTAAATGGGAACCATTAAAATTGCCCAAACTCACTCAGGTTGTTAATTTGAAACAATATAGAATACTTGCTGGACAAAAGACAATTACTGCTTTGATTAAAATATGCTAAAGGATGGAGCGGTGGTGCCAACAAATTCTCTGTATAACAGCCTTGTATGGTCTCTGAAAAAGGCAGGTGGCTCATGGAAGCTGACAGCAAACTATCAAGGCCTAAATAAAGTAGTGCCACCAGTGGCTTCAGCTGTTCCAGACACAATATCAATGGTGCAGAAAATATAGCAGACTAAAGGAGACTGATACTCAGTGATTATTCTTGCAAGTGCCTTTTTCTCGATCCCAATCTCAGAAAAAGAGCCAGCCATGGTTTGCTTTCAAGTGAGAAGGATCCCAATTTACTTTCACTGCATTGCCATAAGGTTACTTGAATTCACTGGCTTACTATCATAGTTTGTGTCTTAGTTATCCAGTGCTGCTGTAACAAATACCACAAGTGGACAGCTTTCATAAAGAGAAATTTATTTCCTCACAGTAAAGTAGACTAAAAGTCCAAATTCAGGCCGTCAGTTCCAGGGGAAGGCTTTCTCTCTCTGTTGGCTCTGGAGAAAAGTCCTTCTCATCGATCTTCCCCTGGCCTAGGAGCTTCTCCATGCAGGAACCCTGGGTCCAAAAGATCTGC